CGATGTGGTCATCTCCAAGTTGGGTCGCTTTGGTAAGATTTCTCTTTATGAGTTTGCGGCCTTTCTCGGCTCTCCCCATCGTGGGAGGAAAATGACCACCGACCAACTTTAACTGTATATGAAGCAAGGAGCCAAAAGTCCACTAATAAGCCAACAAATGTCACATTTCTGCACCTGGTAAGGCTGCCGCGTCAGGCGCTCATTTACGGGAACAGAAGCCCCGCCAGGCAGCTCAGCTGAATGGGACTTAAGTTAAAAATCTAGGTTCCCCTAAGAGCGTCAGCGGCTGGGAGGACTGTGCCGGGGCTCCGGGAATAGTGCTGAGTGAGATGTCAAGCTGGCCCCCAGCAGAGCTGCCCCTTGTGCCGCAGGAGGTGGGAGTTGAAAGTCCACCCCGCACCACTTGCCAGGGGGGCGCCAGCTCCTCTGCTCCAGACTAGAGACATGGGCTGCAAGGCCTCACCCCACCCTCAGGAGCAGCCACGCCGAAGGTTGAGCAGCTGCCCACACGGATGCCAGCTTCACACTAGCCCACGGGTGAGACCAGCCCCTGAAATGCTCCTACAGCGAAGCCCCCTCCTCCCTTGACAGCCCCCGCCCCAGCAGCAAGGCAGCAGGAGAAAGGCCCTTTGCACCCGCACTTCCAAGCCCCTGGGAACAGCCTCTGAGCACGGGAACGACTCACATTCACAGCCAGAGCTGCCAGGGAGTCCGGGGATGCGCCTTACCTCTGGACTCCATAGGGCAGGGAGGCGCATCTGAGAAAGAAGCTGGCCTAGGTGCTGAGTGCCAGGTCACCAAATCCACACAGGTACATGGAAGGCACCACTAAAACCCTCCTCAAGATCCTAGAGGCCATAACAGAGCATCCAGCTAAGAAATCACAGTTGAATTACAACATGTGGCTTCTCCAATTCGATTTCTCATCAGACTTTCCTAGATGAAGACCATTTTGGGGATCGGAATTTTATTTGTATATACTATAAAGTCTTTGGGTTTACATACAGCTTGCAAATAGTTTAGTCCATTAAAGGAAAGGGGAATAAAATAGAGTGAGGTCTAAGGCTTCATTCACTCCCTTAACTGTTCACCAGATTCCTCACGGGGTCAGGCACTGGGCGAGCCATGAAGATGCCAAGACAAAGAGAAGAAGTGTCACGGTGTTGAGATGATTGGCTTGAGAGCCAAGCAAGTTCCAGTTTGCCACATACTAGCTCCGAGACTTAGGGAGAGTTCCTTGCCCTTTCCTTTTTATCTGCTTATCAAGTGGAACTAAAACACCCACCTCAAAAGACTGTCACGAGGGTTAAATGAGATAATGCATGTGTTGCCCTTAATACAGTGTGTGGTCCCTGTACTGGTCAGGGCCCTCCAAAATAATAGGATGGATGGATGGATGGATGGATGGATGGATGGATGATGGATAGATGGATAGATGATGGATGGATGGATGGATGGATGGATGGATGGATGGATGATTGATGGATGGATGATGATGGATGGATGGATGGATGGATGGATGGATGGATGGATAAACAATAGGTTAGGTAGGTAGGTAGGTAGATAGACAGACAGACAGATAGATAGACATGGAGAGAAATATAGAAATTTATTTCAAGAAATTGGTTCACACAATTGCCAAGGCTAGCAGATGCATGACCCAGAGGAGAGATGATATAGTCTGAATCTAAACCAGTCTAATGGATTCCGTCTTTCTCAGAGGAGCTCAGTGTCCTTTTCTCTTAAGTCCTTCACCTGCTTGGATGAGGCCCACCTAGATTATGGAAGGCAATCTCCAAAGTCATTGAAACCCTACTGATTTAAATGAGAATCTCATCTTAAAAATACCTTTACAACAACATCCTGATTTATCTCAGCAAACATCTGGGTACCAAGGCCCAGCCAACTCATAACATAACTCACAACATTAGGGGACTCGTAACATTAACCATCACAGTCCGTTAAGAGCATTTAGGTAATGATAGCTATTATTATCAATGATAGCTGTAATCACTGGCTCGAAGCAGTTCACAGCTATGGTAAGGACACATAACTGTCAGGCAGTGTGATCAGTTCTAAGGACGAGATGCCCAGGACACCACGGCTGCAAGGTGTGTGTTCACAGCAAAGATGCAACACGGCCTCAGAGAGGTAAGAACACTGGCGCCCCACGCTGCTGAGTGAGAACCCATTTTTAGACTCAAAACAGAAGAGAGGTGTCCAGGCGCTCTCCCCAGATCTGGGAAGACTGCGGTCTAGAGAGAGCACCTTGTGTGGGTCAGCGGTCCCCTGCCACTCAGGTGGGGGGGGTGCACAGCAGTCAAAGGCAGCAGATAGGAGGGGTGGCCCCAGTCCTCATCAGGAGGGGCAACTCACTGTCAGGAAACCAGGGGAGCCCAGAAGCAGGACAACAAGCTCCTTGCCAGGAGATGGGAGGGCAGCACAGAAGAGCACCCCTTCTTTCTTCAGGGGAGGAGTGAGGACAGAATAAGACATAAGGGTGGGGCCCAAGCTTGAGTGACCACCAAGCCTCCTGCGTTTGTGTCCACGGCGAGGAACCCTATAAACTCAGCGGTGACGAAAGGCCACGTCGAAATGCACAAGTCGAACCGCAGGCCCCAGAACCAAATATTGACGGCTCCATGCTTGGGACTGGAGAGCTCTGACCAGTAGCAGAACCATCTCCCTGCACGGGAGCCCAACATCGGCCACCACAGCCCTCCGTGCTGGCCCCGCAGATAACAGTCACCCCCTCCCGGGGAGTCGCAGACGTGCCGATGGCCCGGTCCATGCGCGACAAGGGGAAGGTTCACTTTTAAGTCAAACTTCCCAAGCACCTTTCTCACGTCTGCGAGCTGCCTGGGTGAGGTCCTCTGTGCCCAGCACATGTGGTGCCAAAGGTGTGACCCAACCCCCAAAGACACGCCTCTGTAGTGGGCACCCTCACAGGTTAGCGGGGGGAAACACTTGCCAATAACCTGAGACTTGACCTGATCCATCGCCCCGTCACTGCTGGGGACGCAGGGCAGACGCCGTTCTGGAGTGGCAGCCGCAGGAGAGAGAGGGCCGAGGTCCCGCTCCTGCTGCGAGTGCCAGGAACCATAAAGGGGGACAAATAACAAGAGCTGTTAGAAGCAAGAGGATTGTCGTTGTTGTTGTTTTCCCCAAAACAGATAGTCCGACCGAAAAATGAGTGTATTATCGCCTGTTGGGCTTAGTGCCCGCCCCTCCTCCAGGCTCGAGGTGGGCGTGTGAGTCATTTAAATTCTCCTCCGTCTTCTCTCTCTAAACCTCCATCACACCACCCGCAGCACCAACTGGAGGGGGATTTATAATCAATGTCTTAAATAAATTCATGTAAAATAAATTGAGACCCAAAGGATCTGAACAACAAAACCATTTCATTCAGCCAGGAAATCAGATTTTGACAGCCAAGGCTTTTTTAAAAATGGAAGAGGAGTATTTTCCAGACAATTTACTCAGGTGCTCACGGCACCAGACACCCTGACAGACCGTCATCAGCCACTGCTCCCAACGGGCCACGTTTGTGGCTTAAGAACACGCCGGCAGGATGGCAGGACAGGCGACGCAGGCTTCCCGCACAGACCTGCAGGCGGCCGTGGCCCTGGGCGCTGAGACCTGGTCTCCATGCTTGCATAACAGGGTTGGCCATGGACTCACGAATGGTCCATGCGTCTCCCCTCTTGCAGCTTCGCCCTATGCCAGGCACCTTCTTGGATTACAAGTGCTCTTAGGATGCCAGGGTGGCAGTTGTCACCCCCGTAGATAACACACTTGACCGCGTCACCTCTTTGCGTCAATAAAATGTGTGCAGAGGTGACACGTGATGTTTCCAAGAAAGAGTTTTGAGATCTGTTGCATGGAGCCGCCAGCACTCGGAGAGGCTGGAGCCTGCAGAGAGACCCACAGCGAAAGTAGCTCTGGTGTCGCAGCCACATCGGGTGTCTGATTTGGTGTTGGTTGTTACGGTTGCAGCACTGAATGCAGCCCCAGTGGACACCCCGGCAGGCCCACAGCACGCCCAGGGAGCGGGAGCATGTAACTAAGGCACTTGTGGCTTTAGCGATGCGGGAAAGCAGGAGGCTGGGAACTTCGGGCATGTGCTAATGGTTGTTTTTGACAAGGGACAATAAGAAAGAAATAAGCCCTGAGAAGAAATCGCCCTTTTGCAAGCGGAACTGAAAGACTTAGGAGAGGCCGTAAATTCCCGGCTGTGCAGGTTACAAAATGGAACTGTTTCTCCTCCGCAACCAGTAAAAGGAAAGCCGACAAGGCCTTGAGCTACAGTCCAGTCAAGGCTCATCTCTGGGCCAGAGCTGGAATCAAGCAGCCTGGCCAGCCCTTCGCGAAAACTCACCTGGGGCAGAAATGGGGAGAGGAGGTCGAACGCTGCGAGTGAACTAGCTTCCCCCGTGAAGAAAGAAGTGCTACATGGTGCCTGGAATGAGTCATTCCACCGGTAACAACATAAGCACATTATTCTGAAATGTAGAGGTGTAATTGTGGAGTATTGCTGAGTAACAACGATCACACATTTAATTGCTTAAAACAGCACCCACTTGCTCTCTCAGTCTCCATGGGCCGGGCGTCTCGGCGTGCCTTAGTGGGGTCTTGTGCTCAGGGTCACAGCAGGCTAAATGAGGGTGTCCACTAGGGCTGTGGCTCATCAGAGGCTTGGATCTTCTTCCAAACTCACTGGCTGGAGAACTGAGACCCTTGCCCACCCCCATCGCTACCCCAGGGACGTCAGGTGCACTCAGCTCATGCGCATATGCACGCGCGCACACACACGTTAGCTGCGTGACGAGATGAAACACTACTGCACTTGACTATAGTGACCACATCATGATGCTTACGATGAGACATCACAAGTGTATGATCATGTATCTCCAGGCATCACGCTGTAGACCATAAATATAAACAAACTATACAAAAGAAAAAGAAAGCAAAACAGAGAGATGGCTGATACAGAGCACATGGGGAGATTTACCACCAGACCAAGAGTGTTGATGAAAGGCAGAAATTCACAATGAACATGTTCGTCATTGCTGCGTAAATAAACGTGCCAGAACCTGGTGACTTGAAACAACAGCTCTTTATCAGCTCACTCTCCATGGGTGGTGATCCGGGCCTGGAGCTCTGCTGGGCTCAGCTGGCTCCCTTTTATCTGTGATCAGCTGCCACATCTGCTCCCGGAGTTGGCTGAGTGTCTGCAAGAACAACGGGGCCAGAGGGTAAACTGAGTCAGGTTGGCCCTCACCCAGGGTCAGCTAGGGCTTGGCTGTGTGGCAATGTTGGGGGGGGTGTCCCCAATGCAGCAAAGTACAAACCTCAGGGAGCAGGTGCTTTTCTGTCTGTGCTCTCTCCAGGTTCACATCCATGGGTGTTTTGGAGGGACTTAGCTTCCAAAGAAGCCAAACTAAAGCTGTCAGCAATAGAAGAAGCAGCAAAACCACAAGCATAGCTCTACCCTGAGTACTCAATGTTCAGACTATGAGTAAATAAATAATGGGGTTCAAAGAGGATAACAAATAAGGTCAACAAATGGTGCTTGTAAGGTAAGGTAAAAGTATCAGGCTTTTCTGCCCTCCCGCCATCAGGATAGATGATGGATCCTTGTGGTCCTGAATGATTGCCTGATGGTGGGCACCTGGAATAGGGTGTGGGCCTATGTAGATGGGATTCACCTGGGCTAAGACTGGGGTTATGAGGGCGGCATCACGGAGACGCCCGCAGAGAGCAGAGAACAGAATGAATGCAAGAGCAGAGAAGCAGAGACCACCAGAGAACACCAGAGAGCCCAGAAAGAGTGAAGACTTGCTGGGGGCTGGGAGACCTGCCAGCCTCCTGGCCCCCCAGTGTCCCTGCCTGCTGTGTACCTGGAAAATCCCAATATAAAGCCTGAAAAGCCACCGAGGGCTCCAGGACTCTCTCCTACCCAGTCTGCTTGAATTAGAGAACCTGCTCCGTCTTCCTGCCCCTACGGTACATTTTGTTTTCCATAGAGAATCTGTATTCCTTTTCAGTCTCTCTGGACATTTAAAAATGTAGTCACACATTTAGGTCATAACAGAAAAACTCAGTAAAAAGACTTTTTTAAAAAAAGATACGGGAAAGAAGCTGAACAACTAATATTCTCTGACAAAATGCAATCAAAGTAGGACTTAGCAAAGCTGTAAACCAGAAAATTTAAGTCACATGGAAATGAAGACATTTACCTAGATAACTTTTTGAGGCCTATGATTACAGATTACTTAGAAAATTAAAATGACAAAATTATGTATCAACAAGTGCAGAATCTTTTATATTAGGAGTCAGTAAACTTTTCCTATAAAGGCCTGTAGCGTAAGGAAAAATATCAGGCTTTTCTGCCCTCCTGCCATCAGGATAGATGAGGGAACCCTGTGATCCTGAATGCATGCCTGATGGCGGGCACCTGGAGTGGGTACACCTGCGCTAAGACTGTGCTTTTAAGGGCGGTGTCACAGAGATGCCAAAAGCTGAGAAAGCAGCAGCAGAAGCCAAAGAGAAGCCCAGATCACCAGAGAGCCCAGATAGAGTGAGGATTTGGTGGGGGCTGGGAGGCCTGCCAACCTCCCGGCCCCCCAGCACCCCTGCCTGCCATATACCTGGTGAACCCCAATAAAAGACCTGCAAAAAAACCACTAAGGACTCTGACTCCTCCTTTACCCGGTCTGCATGGGATCAGAGAACCTGCACTGTGTCCATTCCTGACCCTACAGGGCCACATAGGAGATATTTTAGGTTTTGGGCTACAGGCCTCTGTACAAGTACTAGATTCTGCCTAGCAGTGAGTGTGAGAGCAGACATCATATAGATGACTAGAATGGAAGCAAAGAAGGAAGCAAAATCAGTGAAAAAAGTAATGGGTTCTAAAATCTAGAAAAACTTCAACAATGCAAAATAGAAACACTAAAAATAGAAATTAATGAAATAGAAGGCAGGGAAACAATGGCACTGATAAATAAATCCAACATTTGAGAAGATCAGTAGACAAACCCCAAACAGAACTAATCAAGAGAAAATGAGGGGGAAACACAAGCCCACATCCTTAAAGATCAGAAAGGAACCACAGCCACAGATGTAGACAATGCTTTTAAAGTCATAAGCAAATACTATGAATGACTGTGTGGTAATAAATGTTTAACTCTCAAGGAAATGGCTAATTGTCTAGAAATATTCTATTTACCAAAACTGACTCCTGAAAAGGACAGAATCTGAGTAGAAGAGAATAAGAAAGTGGTTATCCCCAACCCAACATCTGCAACCCCATGTGTTTGGCCAAGTGCTTTTACCTGTCCTGTCTCAGTGAATCTTTCGATGCAGGCCCTGGTATGATGCTTGTTTGTTCAGATGAAGCAGAATCGTCTAGCAGGATTAAGAACGTAGCTGGGTGGACACACTTTGCCCCAGGAAGTCCAAGGGGCTGGGCCCTGGATGCCTTCACTCTGCAGAAGAACCAGAACAAACAACAGATCAAAGAGCGACCCCCTAAGGTCACAGGTAGGCTAGAGGGGCAAGATGCTCTCCCAGCAGGCTACTTGAGCAAATGATCATTTCTATGGAATTTAGACTGTTTCAGAAGAAAATGAGAAAAGAGAGAGTTCCGTTTTATTTTAAGATGTTTGAACCACCTAAAATCAAAGCATAACTATCTCACAGATACAGATGCCAAAATCCTATTGTATCAAATGTAGAAGTATTTTAAAACAATAACATGGCCTGAACACATTATCATTCATAATAAGTACATATAAAGAGGTCATAGTAAGAATTAAGTTCTGGACATGAATTCATGATGTTAGCAGGCTAAGATGGAAAAGAACTCTCTTCAGTAGATGCTAACTTTAATCTCTTCTGATTCTTATAAAAAATTAGAAAAATTCTTTAATGTTAGATGTGTTCTTTTCAACCAACAGTTTAGTGTGTTTACTGTTAAAATACTAGGCCAGCATTTCTCAAGTTTATAGATTATTTAGGAAATTAGCTTCAAGAAGAGAAATTCTTACCCTACTATTGAAAGAATTCTATATTTCAATAAACACAGAATATTATGCATGTTGTATCCCCATTTTGGAAATTCAAATTATACCTCACTGGATGAAATCCAGATGAATAGCAAATAAATTCTGAAGTCACAAAAAAGCAGTTATAAATATTCAGCATTAAAATATTGTGGTAATAGTAACTGAGGGAACAGACACAACAAAACGTTCCAAAAGAGTAAATACAAGATTGTAGCATACGATAAATACGCCATTTCAAGACAAGGAACAAAGACCAGGTTATTCCATAAAAGATATCAGGATAACTAGAAAAAATATGTATCTCAGACCTCAAGCTCATCATTTACAAAGTAGCAAATGCCTGATAACTTAGCTATAGGTCAAAAATGAGATCATAGATTGGTGAAGTTAACACAGATGGATGGAATTCAAGTGTGAACTCAGCTATGTGAGCCTACAGCTATAGGCTCCTTTTCCTCCCAGGAATCACACAAACAACAAGAAACATTACCAAAGCAATTCAGAAGCTTCATGCTCAATAAAATTTGGAGAAAAGTTTAATTTATAGACTTTAAAATATATGTAAAGATTGACAGATATGACTGAAACCCAGAAGAAGACTTGTCAAAGAAGTAAAAAGAAAAACAGAGAATGCAGAACACAGAAATGCCCCAGACTGCCGGTCCTGAGGGCGAAGGGCCTGCACTCTATTATAACAGGCATGTCCTTGGTATACAGCAGTAGTGGGGGCAGGTGGGAGGGAGCAGAGTCAATGGCGAAAGCAGGTCTTCATCATGTTTGTTTGAAAGACATGAAGAATCACACGAAAAGCTCTATTTGTAGGGATCAGTCTCTCTCTTTGAAAAGTTATCTTAGCCCTAATATACCCTGTCCCCACACAGGGACCACCCACCAATCAAGGGATTGGCACAGCATTGATACAAAGACCATCTAAGAGATATTGGGGGAAAGAACAACGAAGTAAACAACAGAAGAACACTCACCAGAAAGATGTTACCAAAAAGCAGATAAAGTTTTTAACTAAATATTTCACCACGGATTTTGAAATATTCAGTGAGGCCATTATCTCTATAAAAGAAGGTCCGGAACAGGAACGTAAGAAAGATCTAATTATTCAACAGAAAGAAATAAAACATGAACTGGCGCCCTGCAAGAAAGAATAAATGAATAAATATTGGAAGGAGCAATAATGGGTCTTGATACTCTAGAATGTCAGTAAGAAAAGGAACAGTAATGAGAAACATGAATTGTGATGTAATTCATGAAAATGTCATGAAATCAAAGAATGCAGTCTGTACAATTGGAAGGGGAACTGTGCACCAGGGAAAAATGTTGACCAGCGTGTTACCACCAAGATTAAATCATGGTAACGTTCTGGACTTCGACAAAATAAAAGCCTAGCTCTTTCTCTCACCATGCGTTGTTTGTGCTCAGGTTTTGTTTGCCCTTTCTAGGTTATCTGGTGCTTCCAAGGCTGCTTTGCAGCAATTTGAGCATCACCTTCTGCCTGATCCAAAGACTTGGGGGAGCTCCAAGCTGTGACTAGACTTTCAGTGGACTCAGCAAAGAAGTTTAACTCAGTCTCGATCCCAGGGTCTTCTCAGATGTCCACCAAAGACCATACCCAGGGATATTCAGCTGCTTCAACCTATTTCCATAAGATTAATAACGAACCTTAGTAACTTGACTCTCAACCCCAGTACAAAACCCTCTTCTCCTCTAGAGACTCAAGGTCCAGCCCAACAGCAAGGAGCAAGAATCGCCAATTGGTGAGGACTACAAGAGGAGGGTGTAACGACACCGATGACTGCGGGAAAGAACTGGAGGACAGGATGGTAACAATGATGCACCAACACCTCCGCCAAGAAGAAATATGGGGAAAGAAATTGAGATTGAAAAAAGAATTTAAAAATTTCAGTGTAGTTGTCATTATTGCCTGGATCATAGAGCATTTCCTGAGAAGACCAACCTGGAGAATGATTATGATATAGAATCAATGTAGCCACAAACCTAGGCCTTGTACTGACTTTTATTGCTAGTGATTTTAGGTTCATTATGCAGTAGCTTGGGAAAGCTGCTCTATGCTCTGATGGGCTGGATGTCAATATTTTGATAGCCCATGATATAAGTTCTGTGATATCCTTTTTTCTTGCAATTCTTTCTTTTCTAACTTGATTTCAGTAACTTCTAAGAAATCTATGTAGCTTACATTTGAATGACTTCAATATACTTTAGTGCTACTTTTTGATTTGACCAAAGAAGGCTTAGTAGGTTTTGAGTGTTGCCCATATATTTTGGAAGCCTGAAGTCAGCAAGAGGAAACCCAAGCCAGAAATCTGAAACAAATAACTTGTGCAAGTGAGTGTCACGCATCTCTCATGGAAGGAAGCGAGAAGGGATGGAGGCAGATGGAGGGGGGATTAGATGTCAAAGGAAAACCCAGCGCTAGGCCATACATAAGAGCCATTCCAACAATGACACGTTCCATAAACACTGTTCAGTCTTGATAAAGAAAAGATCATTTAAAACTCAAGTGCAAGCAAAAAAGGGCAGGGTTTTGTGATCTCAATATCACACAAGATAGATTGCAGACTGCAAAGCATTAAAAAATGACAGAAACATGCACTTGATTAAGTGAATGATGCAATTTCACAAAAAACGTAACCACTCTGAATATCTGTGCACCTCCCTCTTGTCCTTGATACATAAAATGAACGAGGAGTAAAATTGCAGAAGACCTAATAGCGTAATTAGTAAAAAATATCTGCTTTACAGATATACGTGCACATGCATAAATTCACACAAACACACACACTGAAAATAAAGAAAATCTCTTCAGCTCAAGTGCACGTGAAAATATCATAAAATCTGGACACAATTTAGCCAAAAAAAAAAAACCTCCAGAATGTAAGAAGTAGGCAGAAAACTTTCTGTGATTACATAGAAAACTAGAAACTGAAAATCAAATCAAAACATGAAAAGAAAAAACAACATAAAAAGAGCCTTCCATCTGGAGGAACTCAACTTTTTTAAAAAATGACATTAAATCTTCCTTGAGTCAAAGAAAATGGACAAACAGAAATGCATAATGTCTAAACAACAACAATGAAATGATCACTGGTCAGAGTCCACAGGAGAGAGTGGAGCAAATCACAACAGAAAACACTCCAATGCTATTGACTACAAAGAGTAAACGCAACAAATGAGTGGAAACAAGTGAATCAAGCACCCAACTCAAAAAAATAGGGAGATTACAAAGTAAACTAAAGGAAATCTGAAAGAACCGGATGCTGAGGAAAAAGAGCAGACATTAGTAGAAGACAAAAAAAGATAGAAGGACAGATCTGAACGCAGGTGCTACTCAGAGAAGAGACTCTTCGGGCTGAGTGGCTGTCCGGGCCCAGAGGCTCCCGCATGTGGAGTTCACGACCGTGCAGAGCCTCAAGGGAAGGAGAGATACAAGAGAGACATCCCAGGAAGAACCATCATGAGCCAGGGAGACAACAGAGGACCGATTTGCTGTGTAAAATAAGGGAAGCAGCCTGTGTGGGGACCCAGGGACCAGGGATGAAGGTTTTCAGGAGAGAATACAGGAAATATGAGAAGGGGAGAGAGACAGAGAGACATGAGCTGGAGACAGAGAGAGATCAAAGAGGGATAAACATAGAAAAAGAGACAGAGACAGAAAGAGATGAAGACAGAGAGACATGACAGAGCGATAGAAAGACAGAGAGAAAAAGACAGAGATGCGGAGACAGACACAAAGACAAAATGCAGAGAAAGAGACAGATAGCAACAGAGAAACAGAGCAAGTTGGAGACAGATACAGGCAGAGAGAGATACCGAGAGACAAAGGGAGACAGAGACAGAGATCGAAAGAGATGGAGACAAAGAAAGACAGACATAGAGATGGAGACAGACAGACAGTGGCTTCACAGGCTCTAGGTAGATCCATGTCCCCATCTGACACCCACTGAGCTGCCCTCTTGTTCACTGCTCCGGGGCACACCCTGGGTGACTCAAGCAGGAAAGCAGCTGTGATCCTGCACGTCTGAAATGTCTCCAAGAGTCCCTCTAATTTAGTGGCTGTTCGGAGCACAGGATTCTAGCAGAAATCCCCTGTGGTCACTTTCCCCAGGTAGTCCAAGGCCCTATTTGTCTTCATAGCCTGTGCTGAACAGTTAAAAACAAAACAGTGGATCAATATGTGCTAGAATGGATCGCTCTCCGAGGCACAATGCTGAATGAACACTGCAAATCTCAGAGCAATTTATAGGGCGTGACACCTTTCATATCAAAGAACCAGGAAGGAGTGTCCTGGGGTGGGGGTGGGGGTCACGTTGAACGGGGCCAGGTAGACAGAAGTCAAAGTGCCACCTTCCTAGTTTTCCATTTTTTATAAGAACAATTTCCTCATTGATCCAAAAAAAAAAAGTTGAAACAAAAATCAGAAAATAATATTCTAGAGCTCTTAAAGGCCACACTCATCCAAACTGTTTGAACAAAACATCCCTCCCAGCAGGGGCTCGGTAAACACACAAGTCTGTTTTCCGCAGCTCACCGTTTTGGGGGCGCCTCGCTTCCTTTTGAAGACAGCTGGGCGGTGTTGATTTGGCTGGCATGGCGTGATGACCCACAGTCACATTTTTTCCTATCCCCTGACCAACTGTCCCCACCCTGGTTATTGAATATTACTCTCCCTGACAGCACCTCCTTGAACAAGACGAGTGTCTTATTCAGTGTCAGTCCTGCAGGCAGCTTTCCACGGCAGCTCCCGGCCTCCACCACCTCCCCAAGACTTCACATTACTTTTTTTTAAAGATTTATTTATGTATGCATACAAGAACTGGGGTACAGCCCAGAGGTGCTGCTGAGAGGAGCAGCGGGGAGACGGGAGAGGTCTGCTGCGACCTGTGGGTGAGCTCCCTGGCTGGGAATTGAACTCACGCTGCAGTGGCTTCAGAGCACTGAGTCTTAAACCCTTGCACCACCAGGGAGGTCCTCAAATTACCTTTGTTTCCACACTTCTTCTCAAGGTTAGCATGTTTCACGTTCCCAAAGCAATTTTGATCTGGGAGGTGCCCGTGGTTAGATTTGGGCTCCATTTGGGGGGAACACTCTTGCAGAGTACAAACAGGAATGAAGAGGAACTGTGGGTTCCTTCATTCATCCAGCACACACCCCACGAGCCCCGCCAGGCCCCGAGGCTTCTTCCTAACGCTGGACACCGACACGGTCGAGTTGCTGGTCCTTCTTGATTCTGCCTTTCAGCGTGTTTCCAGCCTTTCCCCGCGACTTGCGGGCCAGCGCTGCTCTCCATCCACGCGGGGCGGCCTGGGCCCATCGGCCAGCAGCTGACAATTCCGGCGCTTTGATTTGGGGTGATTGATAATTTTGACACTTAGTGACCTCGTGTTGACCCTCCCCTCACCACTTTCCTAATAACCCACTTTTACTCAGGATGTACAGAGACCAGCGTCCGCCCCGGCCCCAGCAGTTGGGGGTGTATTTCTCTTTGCAGAAGTGGGGGAAGAGCTGCTGGCATCTGACCCCCCCCATCCTTTTCTACCTCTACCTCCATCAAAAACAAAAAGGGGGTGCTTGGATCTATTGTGTGCTTTCCAAAGAAGTTCTCAGTGCAGACACCAGCCCAGGGAATACCTTGAAGCCTTTCCAGTTAGCTCCGGTTTATTATACAAACTCCAGGCCTCCCGATCACGTGGCTTCATGGAACTCGCTGTGGTGCCTGGATCTATAAAGCAATGAATAGATACTACTTGTGGCCCCGGGAATCATCTCCTCGGCTGTGGGAAGTGTAGCACTGGCCACGTTCTTCATTAAATAAGCCATTTAGATGCAGTAAGTGCTGGGCTAAGGAGAAGCCTCTCTCCACGTAGGTTAACTCCTGCCTCCACGAAGGCTCCAGCGGAAATGAAAGTGAGGAGAGCTTAGCCTGTGGATCCACGACAAACCTGAAAGACGAACATGAGAAGTTCTTTGAGCCACAAGTTACCACTTTCTTTTTGCTTTGACTGCACGCATTGCTGCCCGACTAATAAATGCTGCTTGATACGGGGTGCAGGTTTTCTTAATAAAGGCAACAGCTTTGGACCTGAAACGACATCGAGTCCCCCACGCAAGATTCCACAGCCCTACGGTGTTTGGCAAATGGGTTAGAGGCGGCTGTGGGGTTTCACACC